TTTCCTGCTCTGTCTTAAGGATGCAGAGACAGTTGATTTCCCCCAGCACCCAATTCAGTACAACCCATGCATAATGTAAACGTGTTTTCTTCAGGGCATAAAGAAAGCCCTAGGGTGCTCTGACTCTGTACATGAATCTATGTCATTGTCATAAAAAGCATACTGTTGATTTTTTTTAAATGATTACATAAAAACAGAGTAAGAACATGCAAGGAAAAAAAAGAAATGTTTGTTTTTCTTAATGACTCAAAACACCACAAGTAATTAGCGAACATTTTTTTCTCTATACCTTGCCTAAAATCTTCAAAAAATTTAATGTCCTGCAATAGTGAAATATAAGTGAAAATGTCAATAAACTGAAATAAACAGCATAACAAAAGACATGAAAAAGCATAAAAGACTTTCACTATATTCAAAAGTATTTTCCCATATAAAAACCCTATTTTAAAAACGACTTACAGGCTTATATTCTTTAATCCCAAGTTGGTTCTCTATTTCACCAAATACGATGTTCTATCAAATGCTCCTCATTGATGTCCAAAGCGTAAGTCAGTGTTCTATTGTGATCCATAGGTTTAATTCCCAATTTTGACAAGTAGATAAACATGCCTTTTTCCTAGGCTGTCCTAGTCTGTGGAACTTGTAAGTTAGTCCTATTTGCATTCCCTTAACCTCTTCCCAAATAAGATTATTACATCATAACCCAGAAAAAGTATATTCCAATCTCAACTACACCTGACAAAAGAGAATGACTGAAAACCTACTGACAAGACACTGATATACAGCTCCTAAGATGGCAGCAACATTCATGAGCCAGAGCAGACATAGCAATGATCAATGTTTTTCTTCATTAAATATTTGGGAAGGAACTGTTATTTCCAAGTCACTGTTGTAAGTGAATGAAAATTTCAAAAGAATGAAACATGTAATATATAACATCCCACATTAAAAATTTTATAATTGTGGACATTTTTTCATCAATTTTATAGTGCCTAGAAACTTGTGACAACTCATTAGCTTTTCTGTTTATCACCAGGTAAAAAAAAAAGATAAGACACTGATCTGAATGGAATATCAAACAATCTGCATTAAATGGTTGTACAAAAAACACTAGAGGAATAATCAGCTACAGAAGGTAAAATCTAAGTGAAATTATTGGTGAGAGCTTTGGATTTATTCTGTCCTGAACTCATGAAACAAATGCCCACAAGACAAGGTCTACGGAGCTAAAAAAGAGTCAAAGTGTGTATTCTACAAAGGATTAAAACAGGGATTAGAAACAAATGACATTTTGGTCCTATTAGAAGTTACCTGGTGGTAAATCGGGATCAGTGGGTGCAGTCTGCTGTATTCTTCTCGGTTTGACCGATGATTTTGTGTTCTCCGTAGTACTAGGGTTTGTAGAATTAGAGCCACAGCTTTCATGATCATCCTAGTTGTGTTTTAAAGAAGAAAAATGAAACGCATCAGTCACCATTCAATAATGTGGAAACATTTTGTTGAAAACATCCAGTTCTACAGTTTGTATGTGCATTAATTTTATACTTTCAGCCCTACAAATCTGAGTACCATATACACTTGTGTATAAGCCAAGTTTTTCAGCACATTTTTAATGCAGTTTTTGTGGTAAAATCAGGTGCCTCAGCTGATATTCGGGTCGGCTTATACTCGAGTGTATACGGTATATAACCAGTTTTCAAAGTTGTGGTCTCAAACAACATTTAAAAAATAACCAGTAATTTCAAGTGATAAATTCTTCCTTTCCTAAGCTGGCATTTAAAAACTAAGCTGACAATTGAGAAAAAATATTATATTCTGAAGCAAAAGATTATTATTAAAACATAAGCTTTGAAACAACTGACATCTGTATTACAGAAATAAACAGAAAGTGTCTTAATCTTCCCCTTTGTTTAAATGTTAAGGACCTCACTGTTTTTTAAGCTAAATAAACGCCAAGCTATCATCTAAATTATCAATAATGATCTTTCTTAAACATCCTTAGATTATGTTCCATTTTATTTAACAATGCTGGTTGTTGCTGTTCTTAGTGCTACTCAATTCTGACTCCGTGATCTAGAATGAAACACTGCAGGGTCATGCACTGTGATAGGTAGGTTTGTTGTGCCAACCTGGCCAATAGGAACATGTGGGATTAAACAGGTCACGGTTTGATTGGAAGGCAGAGATAAATGGCTCTGCAAGGTCTGCCCCTTATCTCTTGCTCTCTGATGATCAGAGGCCGCTGCTGTTTTAGCAAGTTCTCTGCCTCAACCTGTGAGCTACACTACTTGAGGACCAGGCCAACCCGTGGATCGTGTTGCTAGAGATTGAGGCTCCTTCGAGACCTGCTTTACCACACTGCTGATGCATTCATCGCTTGAGCTTGAGGCTGGTGGATCCTGTTGCTTTGTACTGCTTGCATTCCCTAGCCTGCTTTGCTAAGCTCCGGAGCTACTGACTGTTGGTGACCCACCCTGCTGCTTGCTGCCTGTGAGTACTCTGCTTGCCTTGCCTGAGGGAGGATTCTGTTGTCTGCTTCCTTGACCTTGGACCCAGCAGTCCACTTGAGTTGAAGGACTTCCAGTATATATTTGTTCCACAAAAGTGAGTTGAACTGAACCCTCTGTACTGCTGTATAGACTAATTAGCTGCTATACTCCTTCCCGCAGTATAAACCTCTGTGTGTGTGTGTGTGTGTGTGTGTGTGTGTGTGTGTCCTGGTTTTGTTTCTCTAGAGAACCCTGCCTAACGCATGCACCATCCTCACAATTATGCTGTATTTAAACCCACTGCTACAATCACTGTATCAATTAATCTCATAGAGGGTCTTCCTCTTTTTCATTGACCTTCTATTTTAGCAAGCATAATGTCCTCTAGGGACACCTAACCAACTTTTAAGAACAGCGGTTCCCAACCTGGAGGTCAAACAACCCTTTCACAGGGTTGTTTCATAACAGTAGCAAAATCACAGTTATGAAGTAGCCACAAAAATAATGTTATAATTGGGGGTCACCACGACATGAGGAACTGTATGAAAGGTTCACGGCATTAGGAAGGTTGAGAACCACTGTCTAAAAAACATTCTAGATGTACTTCTTCCAACACATTTATTTTGTATGTTTTGTTTTGTTTTTAATCATTTTAACGGGGGCTCTTACAGCTCTTATAACATTCCATACATCAATTGTATCAAGCATATTTGTACATATGTTGCCATCATCTTTCCAAAACATGTTCTACTTGAGCCCTTGGTATAAGCTCCTCTATTTTTCCCTCCCTCCCACCCTCGTGAATCCTTGATCAATTATATATTGTTATTATTTCATATCTTACACTATCTGTTGTCTCTCTGGCATTTCAAATGGAGCCCTAGTGGCAAAGTGGTTACATGTCGGGCTGCAATCCGCATGGTCAACAGTTCAAACCACCAGCAGCTTCTCCAGAGACAGACTGGGCTTTCTACTCCCATAAACAGTTGCAGTCTCAGAAACTGACGGGAACAGTATGAGTCTACATTGACTGGATGGAAGTGAGGCAGTTCAGTGTATAACCAAATTCTTCATCAACTCCATAACTTAGGTCCAGCAATTGCTCTTTGGGCTTATGTGTTCAGCTTTCACATGCTACTGAAAATACTATGGCTTTGATCAGCAGGGCCTTAATCCTCAAAGTGACACCTTTGTTCTTAATATTTGAAAGACATAGTTTGCAGCCTATTTTCAATGGAACACATCACTTGATTTCCTGACTGTTGCTTCAATGAGTTGACTGTGGATCCAAGCAAAATTAAATTCTTGACAACTTTGAACTTTATCATGTTGTTCTCTCTTGGTAAGGATTTTGATTTTCCACACTGAAGTGGTTTACAGAGGTGTCATCTGTACTGAAGACTGTGAGCTCTCTTCCACCGAAATGCTTCAAACCCTCTTTTCCAGGCAGCAAGTTTATTGTGTAAATCTGGGCTGACAAAAGAAACAAATCCAGAGACACTTGACATTCATATATGTATAAGGAGCTTTATATAAAGAGCAACTTAAAAAAATAGAAAATAAAGAGCAACTATATATGGAGAAAATATCCCTGACCAGTCCAGATTAAGTCCTAAGTCCAATATTAGCCCATATGTCCGATACCAGTCTATAGTTTCTTCTTCAGACTCACATGCAATGACACTGAATGCAGGAAGCTCACAGGCCAGTGGGTGAAAAGTCTTGTGGATGGAGCAGCGGTGGAAGCATCTCAGCACTGGCATGGGTCTCCATGTGGCTCCTCCAGCTCCAGGGCTCTGGTTCCATCAGGTTGTGTGCATGTGGCTTGTCAACAGAGATGTCTAGCAGAGAGAGTGTGTGTATCTGGCCTCCAATGAGATATTTATATCCTTCATGCCTCCAAATGAGGTCATCAAGCTGCAACCTGATTGGCAGGCTAGATTCCACCCCTTTGCAAGTTGACAGGAGATAATGTAACTGCCACAGTATGTCATCTGCTTATCATAGGCTACTAGTCTTCCATCAATCCTGATGCCATGGTTTTTTTTTCCCCATATAGTGCAGGTTTCTCAAGTTATTTGTTCAACATGCAGATTGAGTAAGTATCATAAAAAAAAACAACCCTGACACACACCCTTCCTGATTTTAAACCCCTTGTTCTATACCAATGATTGCCTCTTGGTCTATATATAGGGTCTGCAAAAGCACAATTAAGTGTTCCGAAGTCTTCATTCTTTTAATGTTATTCAGTTTATCACATTCCAACCAGGTGGCTGCATTTGCATAACCAATAAAACAAGGGTAAACATCTTCCTAGTATTCTGTTTTCCATATTTCTTAGCATAGACAAGTCCACATTGTTAACATTTGTTCCAACATCTCAGTTAATATTTTGCCAACTCTTACAGCCTTGTTTCCACCAATGCATTTAATGCAGCTTAGACTTCTTTAATACCATTGGCTTTTGAGCATATGCTACCACCTAAAATGGCTGAATGTCAACAAGGACTCTGTGTACTCCATCTTCTTTTTTTCCTTCCATCTTCTTTTTTTGTTTGTTTGTTTTAAATCTATGATTTTTTTCTTTCTTTATTATTATTAGTTCATATAGTGTAAATGTTACTTTAATTTGTTTTGGTTGATTTTTTTTAAATCATTTTTTAAAAAATCATACAACTCTTATCACAATCCATACACACATCAATTGTGTAAAGCGCATTTGTACATTCATTGCCCTCATCATTCTCATCATTCAACAGTTTGCCCATAGAATCCTTCAATATTGCTTCTGAAGAGTTCATTTTAACCCCCTCAGTTTCTCAACTTGACAAATGCCAAAAATGCTCTTCACTTGGTTCCCTAACTCTGCATCTTTGCAAACGCCAACCAAATACTTGTCTTCTCCAGTTGCCTTTGGGAATTTTCTGTCCAGCTCTCTTAATTCATTTCTCCCATTTAAATACGTGAAATACAGAGAAAACTGTTACAAAGTAAAGTGAAAGGGAACATGTGCAAGGAATAGTCATCAGTTGAAAAAATCCCATTTTATGTTAAAATGGTAGAAAGATACTAGAAGCCAAAAATATAAACTGATTAAAATTAATTTATGAAATGTAAAAAGGGTGTGAAGGGGCATGCCTGACTTCTCACTACAAAGTAGGGAGGACAATCACCATCAGCATCAGCCCTTGGCCAATTCCTAAGAGGCTGAAATCAGACATGCGTCCACCCTACAACCTTCTTAACCAATGAGTTATCCTTCTAATACATGTATTTCTGGATTTGATCATTAAAAGAAAGTTGCTGGTAGGCTGAAAGAAAGGAGATTTAGTACTTCTATAAGAGTGATAGAGGTTAGAACTACAAAGGCATAGCTCGAAGAGTGAATGAACATTAAAATGAAGTCAAAAAGCAAAAGCATAGACCGTGCTTTTATGAAGGCCGTGAGCAGGAGAAAAGGGATGGGGGCAAGTGGGTGGTAATATGAGCTATAAAGCTTCTGGTTTCTTTTCAGTCCTCGATTCAAGGATAAGGAACACATTTTTGCTTGGATGAAATGTGCACATAGAAGAGTAAAAATACTCTTGTACTACAAATACTATATACACCAACAACTTGCTAAATAATGTAACCATTTTTATACTTAGACCTTTCAGGAACAACTATTTCAAGAATAGGCTTAGTTGGTTCTATTATATATGCAAAGAAAAAATTTTCAAGAATACAAAAAGCATAATTACTAAATTGACCAATGAAATAGGGTTGTAATGACAAATAGCAACAATAAAAGTTCCTTAGAAAACAAGATAATTTAATAAAAAATTAAGGGAAGTCTGTAGTAATAAAAGGTGAATCTTTTACAAGAGAGCGTGGCTGAACATGCTAGTGATATATTAGCAAAAATATTTAAAACTGCAATGAAATTTCTCTCAGAAACAATGAAAGAAACTTCTGGATAAATTAATGACCATTTTCAGCTAATGTGATAAAAACGTCATAGTGTTTCATGCCACAAAACAACATCTCTATTCAATTTTTGTAATGACATCTTCTGTTATTTTGGGGGATGCTGTAGTCTTAAATACTAAAAGGCTACTACTATGAATAAAATCTTGGTGCAATTACTTTTAGCTCAACTGCTATCCTTTAAAATGCCTGTAGTCATAGCCTCCTGCACAATGTTAACATTAAAAGCACGCTATTAATTTTTGAAACATGTGGTTGCCTCAAAAGCCCAGAAGTAAAACATGTTCATTAAAGAGATGTGAAAAAGTTCCAAGTGAACTGCCAAAACTAGCATAATTATGAAAATATTTAACACTGAAACCATCTGAAATCACATACTGTATATAGATTACAGTGATGTCATAATAAACATTCCAGCCAAAATGCACTAAAACTACTACACTCCAATAAATCTGGCATACACGGGATGACAAACATTTTAAAGCAAAGAAAGAACAAGCTATTTTTATTTTAATTTTAAGAAGTTACTAGCAACTGTTAGGGTCCAAGGGGATAGACTAAATACAAGTCTTCAAATAGAGTTAAGGAAAACACAGGAGAAAGCTTCCCTGCACATTTTTATTACACAAAAATAAAAACTAATAACTGTATTTGCTTAAACAAAATTTATATTAAATCAGTTTTAGTATATACTTAAGAAATAAACATTAATCATATTACTCATAGAAATATACACTATGAAAAAAACAATACAACAAATAAGTCAGCATGCCTTTCTTAATTATGGTTAGAAAATTATGACTGAACATATATATAATCAGAATATAATCAGTTGACAATTTGAACTTGATTTCTTCCTATTACATTTTAATTCTAACAATTACCATTGGGCTTCCATTCAAATTCTGCTCCAACTAAATTAAGAAAATGAAAATAAAACAAGAATACAGTGTTTACTGTCAAAACTGCAGTTATGTCCACCATCTATTTTGAGTTCATCATCTTCTTTCAACAATCTTTGGCCTAATACATATGTTTATTTCATTAACAACCTCTAATTACTAATAAAAGAAACTTTGTTCTCAAAATTACAAGCTGAAATGTTTTGAGATAATTTTTAATCCCAAACACATTACCAGTTATGTTTTTCTTATTTAGGGTGCAATTTTTCCAAAATGTCTGGTGACTATATTTCATGGCAAAAGAATGTTTTCTCTTGGGGACCACATAGCTATTTCTGAAAATACTGCCCTTTTGCTCCTCATGAAACAAGCAAGAAAGTCATTTCCTTACTAGAAAAGTTTCTAGCAGGGAAAATGTGGCAGACACTGCATGTAAATAGATCCAATAAACTCTTTCCACAGGCTTTCAGACTGGCAGACCACGGGGTTCTCGGGTTGCAGACTTTTCACCTTACCCCTTCCTCCTCGTTGTTTGAGTTGCAGTTGAGTCAGCTTCAGCTCCTGGTGCTGCAACAAATGTTGCCTGGCCTACCGAGTCGTCAATGTTGTTGGTAGGCTCCAGACCACTGTGACTGCCAAGGTGTACTCTGAGTGCCTTCCAAGTGAGGAAGTTCACCTTCCAGCACTATAGCAAGCAGTACTATGTTGTGATCCACACGGTTTTCATAGGCTCCTTTTCTAAAATGGATCATCAGGCCTTTCTTACTGCTGGTACTATCATTATTGGGTACTGTCAAATCTATTCCAACTCTCACTAACTCTTAGCTGACAAAGATAAACTGCCCCACAAGGTTTAAAAGGTGGTAATCTGTATAGAAGTCAAGGCCTCAACTTCCTCCTGTAAGCCCTTCGGTGGGTTTAAACCACCAATCTTTCACTTGGCAGCTTAAGTACTTAAGCACTGAACCACCAGGGTTCCTTCCTTCATCCGGAAGCTCCTCTTGAAACCTATCCACCATTGCTGAAATACCAGTGGCATGGCTCCAAATGCCACAGCAACATCGGAAAGGTTTTTGACAGATGAGTGGTAGAGCCCTCAGAAAGCCCACTGCCTTCAAGTCTAAGACAACTCATGCCAACCCTATGGAATAGAGCAGAACTTCCCTGTACCGTTGCCCACTTACACTCAGACACTGCCCCATATAATTTCCTGGGCTGTAATCTTTACAGGAGCAGACTGCCACATCTAGTGGGTTCAAACAGCTGGGCTTAGGGTTGGCAGTCTCTCGTTCAACCACTTTTTCACCAGGGTTCCTTATTTTATAAAACAAAAATTAAAAACCCACCGCAGCCCAGAGCCCTGGAGTCAAAGACGGTTCCTGTTCCATCTGAGCAGTCGTCCGTCACCTCATTCTCTTCCAACATGACAGATGCCGCTGTGTCCTTCGCCAAGGACTTCTTGGCAGGTAGAGTGGCCGCGGCCATCTCCAAGACGGCGGTAGTGCCCATTGAACGGGTCAAGCTGCTGCTGCAGGTGCAGCATGCCAGCAAGCAAATCACCGCAGATCAGCATTACAAGGGCATCATCGATTGTGTGGTTCGTATCCCCAAGGAGCAGGGAGTCCTGTCCTTCTGGCGTGGTAACCTGGCCAATGTCATCCGATACTTCCCCACCCAGGCTCTCAACTTTGCCTTCAAAGATAAATACCAGCAGATCTTCCTGGGTGGCGTGGACAAGAGGACCCAGTTCTGGCGCTACTTTGCAGGGAACCTGGCATCGGGCAGTGCCGCGGGGGCCACATCTTTGTGCTTTGTGTACCCTCTTGATTTTGCCCATACCCGTCTAGCAGTTGATGTGGGCAAAGCCGGCACTGAATGGGAGTTTAAAGGCCTCGGTGACTGCTTGGTTAAAATCACCAAGTCTGATAGGATTAGGGGCCTGTACCAGGGCTTCAACGTGTCTGTGCAGGGGATGATCATCTACCGGGCTGCCTATTTCGGCATCTATGACACCGCAAGGAGAATGCTTCCGGATCCCAAAAACACCCACATCTTTGTCAGCTGGATGATTGCACAGTCCGTCACAGCCGTGGCTGGGTTGACTTCCTACCCATTTGACACCCTCCATCGCCGAATGATGATGCAGTCGGGGCGCAAAGGAACTGATATCATGTACACCGGCACGCTGGACTGCTGGAGGAAGATCGCTCGGGATGAAGGGAGCAAATCATTCTTCAAGGGCGCCTGGTCCAATGTGCTCAGAGGCATGGGTGGTGCCTTTGTGCTGGTCTTGTACGATGAAATCAAGAAGTACACATAAGTTATTTCCTAGTGGATTTCCCCCGTGAATGGGCATGTTGTATTACATAACATATCTCAAGCATTCTTGGCAGACAGTTGGCTATATAGATCAATGGCAACTACTTACTGGTTGAAAATGGGAAGCAATAATATTCATCTGACCAGTTTTCTCTTAAAGCCATTTCCACAATGATCATGATGATGATGGGACTCAATTCTATTTTTTATTTCAGTCACTCCTAATAAATAAATAAATTTGAAGAAATAGAAAATATCTGAAACGCAAAAAAAAAAAAAAAAACCCACCGCAGTTGAGTGGATTCTGACTCATAGTAAACCTATAGGGCAGAGTCGAACTGCCCCATAAGAAATCCAAGGCTGTAATCTTCAGAGGGGGAGAAAGATGGGGCTTTCTACTCCTGTTAAAGAGTGAGTCTCAGGAACTCACAGGGGCAGTTCTATACTGACCCATAAGGTCACTGTGAGTCAGCATAGACCTGAGGGCAGTGAGTTTGGTGTGGGTTTGGAATTTTTAGAGGAGGAGCCCTAGTGGTGTAGTGGTTATGTGTTGAGATAACTTCAAGGTAGCAGTTCAAAACCACCAGCCACTCCGCGGAAGAAAGACAGGTCTTTCTATGCCTGTAAACAGCCTCGGAACCTCACAGGGTCAGATCTAGCCTATTCTATCGGTCACTATGAGTTGGTATTGACTCCACGGCAGTGAGGTTGTAGTGGATTTTTTTGAATCGTTATAAAAACAGATTGCCCCATCTTTTTTTCTCTGCAGAGCAGTAGCTGGTGGGTTCAAATAGCGACCCTTTTTTGGTTGTTGTTAGCAGTGATCACTTAACCCAGTGGTTCTCCACCTTCTTCATGCCGCGACCCTTTCATACAGTTCCTCATGTTGTGGTGACCCCAACTATAAAATTATTTTTGTGGCTACTTCATAACTGTCATTTTGCTACTGTTATGAATCAGGTGACCCCTCTGAAAGGTTCATTTGACCCCCAAAGGGGTCACGACCCACAGGTTGAGAACCACTGACAACCACTGCATCCCCAGAGCTCCTTTCAGCCCTATTTGAGGAAAAAACAAACCAAACCACTGCTGTTGAATCTGACTCGTGGCAATCCTACAGGAAAGCGTACAACTGCTTCATAAGGCTTCCAAGCATGAACTCTTTCTGGTGGCAAACTCCCACGACTTTCTCTCCTGGTCCATCTGGTAATTTGGCCTACCAACCTTTCTTAGTACAGTCAAAGCACTTTAATCATTGCAGCACCAGGGCAGCTTTAGTGGTAAAAGACATGTATCCTTATCCAGGTACTTTATTGATCTTTATTTGAATAGCAATAGTGTACATATAAAAGGGTAAGAGCAATTTAGGAACTGATCAGAAAGTTCAAGTGGGCTTCAAAATTTTCATGGAATAATAGAATAAAAAATTAATGGAAATTTTCTACAACCTTTTTGAAGTCTGCTGGTATACAGGTCTCAAAGAATTCTCAGTTATCCTTAGTAAGCATCCATGTGCCAAGTATCGAGTATTTTAAAGATGCAGGAACTACAACGAAGAGGTTCCAACATTAAAACACTATGAGGTACAGAACTAGGAAGGAGCTAAGATGGTCTAAATGCAGCAGTTTGCAAACTTTTGAGATCGAAGAGCCAATCCTGTCCCTCACAATAGTTTAAAAATGTTTCGATGCTTTGAAAATTATGATGGCGGCATATGTGCAAATATGCTTGACACACTGGATGAATGTATGGATTGTGATAAGAGATGTAAGAGCCCCCAGTACAAGTATTTCTTTTATTATTCGAGCTATATGTTTTTACCAATAAGTGAAATCACCATTATTTGAACAATATTCTATGAAATTTTTTTAGTTTAGTTCAGAGCCACACATCCATACCAAAAGAGCCACCCAAGCATGACTCAAGCCAAGCCACAGTTTGCTGACCATGGTATACTGGATGACATGTTTAGTTGCTAACTAAATCAGCAGTTCGAATCAACCAGTGGATCCTTGTTATAGAGATGAATTTTCTAGTCCCTTAAAGATGTACATCCTCACAAACTCAAAGGGCAGGTCTACCCTGTCCCGTGGAGCCGCTATGCATCAGAGTCAACTCAATGGAGTGAATGAGTGAGTCAAGGGTTAGGATATACAGCCAGATCTGTCTGAATGAAAGAACCCATCTGTTAACCACAACTTGGGAAGAGAAAAAAAGGAGTACGATGGGGAAAAGGAGAAAACGTAAAGAAGGAATGTAGAAGAGGAGGAAGAAAGAAGGGATAAAAACTGTAGGAAATAGTTTTCTATTTGTCACATTTCCAATATGTTTCATAATACTAATACATACATTTATACTATCCCTTAATCCTCCTAACAATCCTATAAAATAGATGCTATCCTCCATACAAAGGTATGCCCATTTTTTGAGCAGAGGAATCTAATGCTTAAAGAGATTAAATTGCCCCAAAACATCCCACTATTAAAATGACACAATCCTAACCAATGCTGGGTCTTTATGAGAAAAGACCAACTGAGCAGTACAGTACAGTACAGCGCAGCTAACCAATGAACAACACAGGTTTGGGGTGTTTGGTGGAGCTAATTGGCATCACAAGGATTTTTAAGCAGTTACTCAAAGCACCTGAGCTCTCCACAATAGCAACCGGGGTAAATACATGTGTAAGTGGGGCCCTGAACAATTTAAACCTCTGTTGTTGAAGCATCAACTGTGAATTACATGAGGATTTTCGACTGAGCAGAAGCTGACACCTGTAGCCCTGCTGTTTTTGAAGGGTCAACAGCACTGTGTATTCTAGGAAGAGAGAAAGCACGGGGAGCTGGAGCAGGCAAGAAATCACAAAGACCACATGCTGCCTTCACATCGGTTCCAACTCCTAGCAGCCATTTAGGGTTTCCATGGCTGTAAATCTTTACAGCAGACAGTCACATCTTTCTCCCAGGGAGCAGCTGGCCGGTGGATGGCAACTACCCCCCTTTCGACTAGCACCTGAGCACTTGACCTCTGCCCACTGAGTCCATTCCCACTCACAGGAAGAGTACAGGGCAGAGTAGAATGGCCATTGTGGGTTTCCACGGCTGTAACTCTTTACAGGACCAGAAAATCTCATCTTTCCCCTGCAAAGCAGCTGGCGGGTTTGAACTGCTGACCTTGTGATTAGCAGCCCAATCAATGCCTAACCCACTACAAATCACCAGAGCTCCTGCTGCAAAAGAAAGAAAGAAAAGTGGAGAGAGGGAGGGGTGGAAAGAGGGAACCAATTACAAGGATCTACATATAACCTCCTCCCTGGGGGATGGACAACAGAAAAGTGAGTGAAGGGAGACGTCGGACAGTGTAAGAAATGACAAAATAATAATAGTTTATAAATTACCAAGGGTTCATGAGGGAGGGTGGGGCGGGAAGGAAGAGGGGGAAAAATGAGGTGCTGATACCAAGGGCTCAAGTAGAAAGCAAGTATTTTGAAAATGACGATAGGAAAAAATGTACAAATGTTCTTGACACAATGGATGTATGTATGGATTGCGATAAGAGCTTTACTAGCCCCAAATAAAATAGATTACGTTAGATAAAAGGGAGAGGGAGACACAAAGAAAGGTGGGAAAGGGAAAAAAAATCTCTCATTGGAATGCATCTGCACACCTAATTTCAGAAAAAATGCAGGGTTCTGAAACATTGGACTGCAAAAGGAGACAAGGCAGAGGGCCTTGAGAATAAAATTTTAAAAAGCTGAGCTGTTCAAGGGGTACCCAAAAAAACCTGATGCTCATTTGCTTTGTTTTTTAATGTGAGGGGAATGGTGCATTTGGAATTCATTGCACCAAGTCAGACTGTTAATCAAGCTTTCTATTTAGAGGCTCTGAAAAGGCTGCATAACAGTGTGCATCAAAAAAGGCCAGAGTTGTGGCACACAGGAGACTGGTTTTGCCACCAGGACAATGTACCTGCTCACGCAGTCATCTTAGTGTACCATATTTTGGCAAAAAACAGCATGCCTCTCTTGCCCCAAACACCTTACTCACCTGACCTCGCTCCATTTGACTTTGTTTCCCAAATGCATAAGGACATGAAAGGATGACATAGAAGAGGTGAAGAAAAAAACAAGGAAAGTGCTGTCAGCCATCCAAACAGATGAATTTGAAAAATGTTTCCAAGAATGGAAATGCAGATTTGACAAGTGTATTAAGTGTAATGAAGGCTACTTTTGAAGGTGATAAGGTTTTGTAAAAAAATTTACATTAGCTTTAAAAAAAATTCGTCTATTGGGGGGTACCCCTCATATTCTATATATTGTGGAGTCAATGAAATCTCAAGTTGCAGAATAACAAGGTAAGTCTTTGGTGAAGAATCTCTTAGTTATGAACAAAAAAAGTCCAAAAGCAGAGATGCTAACAATAAATAGATTACAATCATTTAGAAATTAAATTATAAGAATCAACTTCTCATGAGGACAACACAGCATTATTTTTAATTAATTTTAACACAGCATTATCAACTTTTCTACATCTCTCTGAATAATTAAAAACTAATATTTCAGTATTGAGATTGAGAAATCATTAAATGAAACTTTAGTTTTCTATATATTCTTCTTGTACATCAAGATAAGTATGCGAAATAACTACACTGTCCACAATGCAAATGTCAAGTGCATTAATGAATGTAAATGTCTCCAGACTGTTAAATTTGGGGCAATGACCAACATGTAATTTCCATACATAATAATCTAGAAAAAAAATGTTTTTGACAGTCTTATGCTCTTAATTTTAATTGAATGTTTTTTAAATGATCATGTCGGTTTTTCCCACATCAAAGATCAGAATGTAAGTATTGTCGGCTTGCTATGTCACAACTAACTTCTGCTGCTGATGCATGAAAGCAGGAAAGGCTAGATGTAAACAAAGGAGGGTGCTGATTGCTTTCCAATAAAACTTAATTTACAGTAACAGCGGGTGGCTAGCGCACAGGCACAGTTCAATGACCCAGCTTTAAAACATCTGTCTTCATAAA